TCTTGGTCCACTCAGTCCGAGCTCAAAAGCCACAGCATTCGAAATTATCGCCGACGAGGGGCGTTTCCCGAGCGCTTGAATGTGAGCTTGTTGAGAGAAAAGTTTCCTGAGGCCATTTTCGCAGATGCCGCACTCCGTTAACGATTTCCTTTCCCAGAGAGCATCCCGCGCGATCGTTAGCACTCGTGTAGTCCCACTGTGAATCATGGTAAGCGCTCCACTCGTGGAATCCGTATGTGAGTCCCGTGGTCTAAATTACCCATCAGAGGAAGACGGAGAAAGCCGCCTGTAGCAATGCAGGCGAGCACGAATCGATTTCGAAAGTTCTCCCTGTACAAACGCCCCCGCAGCTCGAAGGCTGTGGATCTCGAAGTCTGGTACTGGTGAGTCCATCCCAAACAATTTCGCAATCTGAAACGTGAGACGAAACTCGAACCGAGAGCGTTCGTAACCGAGGTTGGACAGAAGATCGCCGGTCGTATATTCCTGATCCGGAACTTACTCTGAATCGCGAAATCGATGTGTCAAGACTCCCAGGAAGAAGAAGGTCCGCTGCTGGAGCTTGATTCTGGTGAGATCCCTCGAGAAGATCATCCGAGAGCTGTTGCTCGCACCGCGTTCCTCGGATCGATAGATCCGGCGAGATGGAGCGCCAACCCACTGGGCGCGCGATGCTCGAAGCGCAATCGGGTGCTCCGTCACATCATCCTTGTGTCTGCGTTAGCGGCGGACCCAGGATGACGTCCGGGACGAGGGAGCCGTAATCTCAGAGGACGAGAATGAGAATTTCGAGCGGTCCGCCTCTTTTCCCATACCCCGGTCCCCTAGCTGATCTCGCGGAATTCCTGGAGGAACCTGGTGAATAATTCCACCCGAGTCGCTTGATGAAGCGCTGTGCTCATTTTCCAGGAGCAGTACCTACCCGACAGGCGAGAATAATAAGCCGTTCGATACTCGCAGACCCAGCTCAAACCATACAATAAACCGAGACGGAGAAGGTACGACGAGGAGAGTCAATCATCGGAACTTCTCTAAGGAGAGTTCCCACGAGAACTCCTGCAGGGAACATCGTTCGCATCCCACAGTTGTTGGGAGTTCTGTTCCGCCCACGGAATTCTCAGAGACCGATCGGGAGCCATGGCCAAGCTGGGGCTCGCCCAATGCCTGGTATAGGGCTGGTCCGGATCTACCTTGGAGAAGCGATCCTGCCAGCGAAAATCCTGCCCGTCGCGGCGGATTCGGATTCTATCCTCGGAGCGATTTATCACCGATTGCCAACCGAGGCTCCTCTCTATGGAGAAGCATATGTCGTGCCAGAGAATACGGCCTGTGCATGAATCATTGATGATCCAGGCCGGATTCAATCGGAACGCCGTGCGTCGATTCAGAATTAGTTCCCGAGGTCATCTCACCCGCGAATTTTCTTATCCCCTTTCTCGAAGCGTGGGGAGAACTCGGAATACAATCATGATTTGAATTCATGATCAAATTCACAGGTTCATGATTAATATTAAGTCTATTACTAGAGGCTGAGTACAACTTCGAAATCGCGACAGGCCTTCCCGGTCGATGCGTGCTATTCAGAGCGTAGACTCGGGCTTTCCTTGGGATTACCTTCGACACCGGAAATCTACAAAGATAGCTCTCTTCGAGCATTGAGTGATTCGTCTCGAGTCGTCTGTGTGAGTGCGTCTACAAGGAGACTAGTCTGGACGAGAGAGATAATAGACAGAACCATATTTCTCCCCTTGGAACTATCTGTGTGAGAATGTCCTATACCCGAGGGAGCCGAGGATGCACGCGAGAACGTCAGATGAAATCCCATTCATCACGACCCATGTCTGAGAAAGAGCGAACGGTAGCTTTCGGCACCGCGTTTAACATCGTCTTCTCCCTGTCAGCGGCAGCTGGAAGCATTTCCACAATCGGATCTCACCGACCGCCCGGCGTCGCGTCGGTCGATCCGGGCGGATTTGAATCTCTAGCTGGGGGGAAGGAGAGTTAGGTAAGCGAGGCGGACGTCGAGAATTTTCACAGCAATGCCGGACAGGCAGCATGCTGTGCTTCCTAGTCGCGGCTGGGTCGATTCTCCGCCGTCTCTTTCGCTCAACTCTTCACGCTTGCCGACCTTGAGCTAGAACAGCCTCCATGATGTTTATGAGGCAACTTGCCGAAACGCAAAATTCTCGAGTGCCAAGTTCGAAGCTTCACAAACGAACAAGCGACCGACGCTGTCTTGGCTCGCGGCACAATTTTCCTCCAAGGAGCTTCCGCACAGAATCCTCAGACGGATGCTCTTCCAGCAGCGTCCATGACGTCTGTTATCTCGATAGACTTCCCCTCAGACACTCGGTTTTTCTGTAAGTTATAATGTCTTTCCATGGAGATTGTTTCGCTGCTGTTGCTGGCGTAGGTCAAAGCTGGCGGTGCGTCGGAACGGGAAATGCAATCCGCCAGTCACAGCATCCGACGCTCATATCCATCTGGATGTCGTGCCCGAAGGCACGAGAGCTTCAACCCCATCGGGGAACACCGTTCGGGGAGCCGGGCATGCGAGCGGACTGCTCTGCTGATAGTCAGCTCGAGTGAATCGATGAGAAAGGGACGTGGATCTCTCACCCGGACAGACATTCGTCGTCAGCAAGCGGCCATGGAGCCAAGCGGCTAGCCGCCGCTAGCCAGTCAGCCGGCCAGCCAAACAGACATTCGCTCAAGCACTCGCTCACTTTCGAACTCACTCCCTCGCGGTGACAGTCACAAAGGCACACGTATGAGGATGTAAACAAACGCGTTCTGTCACCTTTTTTCCGATGTAGGATTTTAATTTTCAAGTGCCCAAACCGTCGATCGTATACGAAATGTGTGCAGTTAGAAGTTTCATGTCATCCCCGACCCATTAATTGGCTCCGGTTGCTGCGCTGCGGGAATTTCTACGGTCCAAGCAACGGATTCCGCCACGGAGGCGAAAAAGGTAAACGAGTCGAACTACGCAGAGTCGAGGATGGGGACGACCTGATACCACCTGACCGAGCGCGGATATTGAGAGCATTGTTTTCTCAAGTTATCCGGCTCCTGCCCCGACAAGCTAAAGCAGTTTGAGTCGTCGAAGCGCTTCCGCTAGAATTTTTTTCCACGGTCTCTTGCACCCACCGACCCTACAGTACGTGATTCCGTTCTCCCGGGCTCGAAATTATTTGTTCCGAGAACGCGTGGAAGTCGTCGCCCGCGTTGCGTTTGGGCGAGGGCGCCGAATACGCTTAATGGCTTCGTTGTGACATCATCGAGTCTTGATGCGAGGCGCGATGATTGCGTTTCAGGCGGGCCGTAGGTGTCCCGCGCTTACGAAACATTGAGGTTTTGAGGAGGGCATAACTATTTCGTCACTGGTTTCTATCAGCTGTCATGATGACATTTCGGGAGCGCATGGTGGTGGGAACCCAAACCACGTCGTGCCGCAAGCCGGTTGAGGGGCATAATTCGAGAGCGTATCGGTGCCGTTGCGAGACGTCCATTGTCTATGAGGCCTTAGCCCTTCCTTTCGTTATTCGACGGTGCGCCCTCGCTATCAGTTTGAAAAATGGTTGCGAGTCGCTGTCGCTGAAGAGCGGAAAGAGCCCTTGAGGGAAAAGATCATGAGGAATCGGTTCCTGGAAAGCCCGGCAGAATCGGACGGATATCAGCGCCTTATATTCCCCTGGATTGATTTCGAGGGGGTTCCCTCGGAAGTACGCGAGCGACGGTTCTGACAACCCCATTTCCATTGATATCGAACTACCTGACGTCACTCTACTTATTTCTCATTCCTTCTTGGAAGTGCTGCGCTCTACGCTCCAGTGGACGCGATAGCCTCGCTCTAACAGGTGGAATCCGAGCTGATAACGAATTTACCGGCCGCTATCGAGATTGTTCACCAGTTTCGAACGGAAATTTCAAGCTCCCCGTAGCGATGGCCCACTGCCAACCGTTTTAGACGGTTCCCCTATTTACGTAAATCATACCTACACGTTTTTCCGCTTCCGTCGTACCCCCCGAACCGAGGAGAAGGACGACGCGAGCTCGTCCGATCCATTCCCGTATCGAGCTGACTCTTATCGAGCCAGAATGGACCTAAGGTAGTTCAATGGACTCAACCTGACGAGTGCTTCCTGATTGGGGCTCGTCGCTTAGTGGCGCCACTATGCAAGAACCTGTGACAAGGGCTCTATCGGGGAAGAACCATTCTTGCATGTGAGCACTCAAGTGGCCATCGTGGATAGTATCTAGGACAACAAGAATTGATAGGAGCGAAGCTTTCCGATTTCAATATTGGTGCTTACCGATAAGAGTCCCCCCCTCATGAAGGGACCCGACGACGGCTCACCGAGGCCCTTCCGTACCGGGTTGTACGATGGAAAGTTGCTGCAGGCTTCGACTCCCATCTGAGTTTCTCCTTTCACCTCATATACCCCGTCGCCTGATCTTTTCCGAAGCCGCGTGCGACTGTGAATATATTCTGTTCCCGAGGTGTTCGCCTGCATATTTCCGCGGCAGCTCCCCCTGCAAGCTGTGACAGCAGAATAGTTTCCTTTCTATTGCTGGCGGTGCCGGTACCTTGACATGTGTTGATCGGCTGTGGTGTTGGGAAAGCCATAAAAGACGCTCCCTGTCGCCGACGCGACGTCCCCGGAATATGGCGATTCCTTGCAACCGGAAGGAAACACTCGGCCCTGGAGCTCATAGCCGTCTCCATCCATCGCAAAATATAGAGTTTCTGGGAAACGTGTAGACGCTATCGAGTTCGCGGGGTTTCCGCGATCGTTTCGATTCGTGTATTCGCATGTGGGTTTACGGTTCAGGGCTCCGGTCCTGGGAACATGAGGCCCACGCCTCGGCAGCGTTGCGAATTCGAGCGAAAATATGAGAGGGATGACGTAGACGGAAATGTTCTTGGAATTATCACAATGAGTTTATTGATTCAGCTTGTACGTTTGTTTGTCTTGAAAAATTCAGAACTTCCTTCCTCAACGCATCCGAGTCAGCCATTCCAAAGAGCTCGGAAATCGAGGTCATCCGGGTCGTTCGGAACGGCAGGTGGAGTTTCCGGCAACTCGATCCCCTCCAATTCGAGCGAGGCCAGCTTCAATTCAAGTTCCATCAAAAGACGGAAATCGCTTTGAGCCGAATCACTCTCGAGTCGGAGACCTGTGAGGGCGTGGAGGGCGTCCCAGATATCCTCAAAGGTTTCCCTGTTCGTCGTAGCGACCTGTACTTGAGCCGAGTCTTTCGATAGGATCGTGAGAGCGTAATCGTCTTTGCGATAGTGTTGACACTGCTTCATGGTTTCAATTCTGAGAACATCACCCAACGGAATGGCCACCGTTCGATGATCAATTATGACCCGTATCTGATGTCTGTCGTGAGCGAGTCGTACCACCACGGTTTTGTTCTTGACACGGCTCCCGCGGTCATTTATTCGCGAGAACTCGAGGCCTTCGATCAACTTCGTAATTTTTGATTCTTTCACCAGCTTCCAAATTTTCTCGTTCAGCTGCCTTGTCAGCAAGTCTGAAATAAGAATCATCCGATCAGCTCGAACTGAAACGTCCATCGACAAGAGGACAAACTATGTTCGATCATCGGTGAGCCCGCAACACTTGATTGAACCTAAAATCAGCATACCTAAATTTTCGGCTGAAAAAAAACACCGTCACATCCAAGCGGCTTAAAGTGGAATAATAAATCCACCTACCTGTTCGTTTCGGGTCTTCCCGAAGTTTCGCTTGCTCAGCTTCGAGTTTTTGAGAGATGAGTGTATACGGTGTGGCGTAAAGCATCGCCTGCAGTTGCTCGAAGGACCAGCATGTCATTTGGTTTTCTAATGCCAACGTCAGTTGCTCGCGGACGATCGCGAAAACCTTCTGTATGTCTCCAGATCGCGCTCGCATCTCGCGCCACGTTTTGAGGACAAGTTTCAGACCGATCGAGAAGAATTCCTCGAGGAAAAGTCTCATATTTGTCAAAAACATCCGCAACGCTACCGCCTCCTCGTCCGGAGGGTCCGACGTTATGTGAAGAATGTCCACCATGAGATCAGTGAGTAGGATGGAGCTTTGCAGCAACGGACAAATATATTCCGATGGAACAATGTTAATCTCTTTCATCCACGGGTATAGAACCGTGGAATGGTGTGTCTCGAAGTGCTTAACACAATGGAGGGTGAGGCCGTCTATTTGCCGGAATGTAATGAAAAATTTCTCGCCCGGTCTGAGTACGTCTTCATATTCCTCGGCGGTGCCGCCGATTCTCTTGACCGCGTCGATATAGCGCTTGCTGTTGGGGTCGGGCCGGCCCAGATGGGTGTTGAGAATCTGCTCGAGGAACGCGCGGAATTCCCGTACGTGAGCGTCGTCTCGACCCTGTTGGTACATTGGCAGATATCGACCCCGGAGAAGTCTTGTTTGGAAAAGGCGCAGTTGTCGATGCAAGCAGGCGTCCCGACGTTGACGGCCTTCGGCGTAGCGAGCCAACAACTTCTCCGAAAACTCATCGGAAATCTCCAAAATGCTTGAGACCAGCTCCTGCTGATCGATCTCGTTCAAATGGCTCAGGAGGGCATTCAGCAGCATCAGAGTGTTTTTCGGCACCTCGGCCAGACCGTGCGAGAGATTTTCGGCGATGCAGTTGAGAGGCATGTAGAGGAAAATTTCGTCGGGCTTGATGCGCGCCAGCAACGAAAGAACCGCGAGAGTGATCTCGATGTTGGCGATGTGTTCGGGACAGGGTGTGAGCTCCGCGCAGAGTCTCTTCAGGAACTCGTCTGTGTAGAAATGATCTTTGTCCACTCCCTTCACCAGCAGAACGCGTATGAGTTTCAAGGCTTTGTTCATGGCGGGCCCGTTGAAATGACCGCCAGCAACTGCTTTCGTCAGGGACTGCATACCTTCAACGGCTATAAATCGCTCAATGAACTTAGGGCAATGAACGAAGTTGTCGAGGTCGTCCAGAGCCTTATTCTTTCCGTACGAATCGAGATCGTTCTTCGCAGTTTGAGCGATGAGCGTCGGAGAGCGCATCAGCAGAACGGTGTCTCCGTCTCGAAGTTGGTCTTTATTGTCTTCGGTATAGTAAAATATCTTGCCGTCCTTCTCGTAGGCGAAACGGTACTCATCGGGCTCGAGTCCGACGGCCTGGCACACGACGCCCGACTGCTTTTTGATATTGCTCTCTTGCTCGAAGTTGTGATGCAATTTTTCGTATTCCGGCCGGTGCGGAATCCTGACGTTCAGGACGCAGCTCATGACGGCATCTGAAACATCGGAACGAATCTCAGAACTCTCTCCCGCCTCGAAAACGACTCCTCGGAACGAGGCTTCGGACCGTGTATCATCAGAAAAGCACGAGAATCGTCCTCTGAATCAGACAGCGACCAACGAGCAGCGGTCGCGGCAGCTGACGTAAACTACGCATGGATTTCGCGCACCATCCAGCGGCGGATATTTACGTCGATTCCGTTCATGTCTCTACCGGAGAGGCCAAGCCCGGGCCGTGAAACCGCCGTTTTCCCCTGGTGGACAGGCTCGTCTTGGGAAAAAAAAACCGATTTCCCAGGAAAAACGCTCGGCTACTCCTCGTGACGGCGGCGTCGACCGCCTTGTTCAGCGCACAGACCGGAAGATTGGAACGAGAGCTCAACGCGAGGTATCAAGCCAGTAAACAAGAGCCGCGTCTCGGTCTGTTTACCTACCTGTGGAGCTGTCAAACACGAATGCGTCTGCCGGTGTGTTTTGTTCGGGTCCAGGAGACACTTTGCACGATTCTACACGAAGAGACAGTCGAGGAGTTGGCGGCTCGTTACGGGGGCAATACTGTTATCCTGTCGACCGCGCTTGCCAGCACTGCAGATGATAGCAGCATTTAGCGACCTAGAACAGGTCGTCGCTCGCCCGGCTGCCAGTCAAGCGGCGGCGGCGGCGTCGTCGATAGCGAGCGTTTGCTTTCGTGCAAGCTTTAGAGACCGAGCCACGATCGCTACTGTCGCCATCGGTTGTTCATTGTGTCGCACCCAGAGCGTGGGTCAAGTGGTTCGTGAAGTTCCAGGCTCGATCGTGTCTTCCCGGAGCACACAAAGCGTAGTCGACGAAAACACTCGTGGAATCAGCTGTTCACTGCAGGTTCGTGTCGACACTCCCAGACGAGACGGTAGCTCAGTACAGTCAGGCACCATGAACGGGAAACTCGAACATTGATGACATACTCGTCGCGGTTCCGAATAATCTGCGGTCCACTGTGAAAGGTTGGTGGTTCGAATGAGCTTTACAATCCGAGCGGTGTTTACTGTGGTGCTCGTGGTGCGTTCGCGTCCGTATTACTCGACCGAAAATGGTCACGAGTTCCGAGTCATTGCTTAGTGGAGAGCAACACGTCGTCAGCGATAAATTCCCTCCGTATCAAAACGAGGGATTTGCGTACTTTCTGATTTGGTGACTCCCGGCTGACGAGACGGGAACGCTGAGACGAGTCATGGAAATCTCATCCGCTCCGGCTCAGACGAGCTTGTTCCAGCTCTGAATATTCCGCGCTCGGGACAGGCTTCCCAATCTCAAGTGAAAAACTCGAAACCGGCTCCGGGAATAAATACGCCTGCCGTTCGAGGATAAGCGAGAAAACTTACTACGAAGAGTTTTTGCGCGGATTAAATCGAGGGACTGAAGCTCGTGTGCCGGAACTTTTCTCCGTTGATGAAACCTCCGTGAAGTGCTCCTCATACCGGTCGGCCAACGTGCGGAACGCCGTTGGAAGCGTCTGCCGCGTGATTTTCCCCTCTGGCTCAGCCGTGGAGGAGTCAGAAAGAAAGCATTCGGCTACGTCATGAGTCATAACTAGGCTTTGCAAAAAACTGCATATTTCATGGAAACCGCGTTTATTGACTGCGGTTATTCGCTATTCCCCATGTTGGAGAAGAACCGCGATTGCGGTTAATAACCGCGGTTGCAAACCTTAGTCATAACGTCATGAGTATTCGAACGGTGATTCCGTGCGACCGGGGCGCCTGTCTTGTGTGTTCCGAGGGATTCTGCTCGCGGAGGACTCTCCTTCCAGTCGCGAAGGAAAAGCTTCCCCAACAGATGCGATGTGCTTCCCGACCGAAACCCGGGACGGATCTTTCTTGGAATGGAATTCAGTGAATCTGAAGCGGAAAGTATCGGCGCGGAGGAAAATGCAGCATAAGCAGAGCCATTTACAATTCGTATATCAGGAACTGGCTGTCGCGATCCCTCCTCTACAGGAGAAATATGATACCGTGAGAGCCGACCACGATCATCCATGGTGATTTTGGCGGAGCCACGCCAGAACATGGGGTGGAAGAGGGAGTACCATCTTCGGTCCTGAATGACTCGGACGTTCCCAACTCGATGTCCAGGGTCGTTCCCCCAAAGCTAGGCCACACACCTGGGCGAGACTTGGTTTCCTCGTTCTGGAGCAGAACTCGGGGTTCTGCACTACCTGGAGGCCGAAGAAAGTTCCGTTATTATTACTCCGGATTCCTCGTGTCCCGTTCAGCGAGAAAGTTCAGCGAGTCTTGGTTCTTTTGCCGGTGCAGACATCGACGACGTCGCGAGTCCGCGAGCTGTCTCTCTAGGACGTCCGTCCGGAGCGCGCGAGCAAGCGCGGCTCGTCCCAGAGACGCCTTGATGGCTCGACCCGCTCGCTCGAGGAAGAGTCGAGGGACACTAGTCGAAAAGGAGTAAGAGACAGCTAGCCGGGAAAGAAAAGTCGGCGAACTCCGTCAACGGCAGAGGATCTCCCTCTATCCGTTCTGAGGCCAACCGATGTTATTGGTGATGGCTACGACAAAGTAATGCATTCTTCGCCACATCATCAGCGAGCCGGCTACGACCCAGAGAACTAATGGAATCATTTGCCGAGTGCAAACTTTCATTCTCGCCCAGACAAATCGGCAGAGGACTGCTGCGAAGCTTTCGCTTTTCCGCAGCTCCGGCTCGGGACGACACCCACGCCCGCGAATCCTCAAGCGAGGCTGTTTCTATACGCGTTTTCCTTGGAGACGCCGTTATTGTTCCCACGTTACTTTCGGCTCGGGCTCGTCCTGAATATGAATCACCGATAAATTTACCCGCTCGGGCTTGTCTTCCTTTCCCGGGCGCAATTAGCTTTGCTTTCAAATGCAGCTCGGCTCCGTCTCGTTCTCCAACGAGTTCCACACCGAGTTCAGGATTCAAATACGTGAATGAATGCTGCTCGACAAACAGAATCTCATTTCGATGCGCCTGGTTCCAATCGCTGCAGAGACTTCGCGCATCGAAAGATGAACAAGAAAACTCGAGAGCAGACCGGGAGCGCGCCTCTTCCCATCGAGAGAATCTCCGTGCTCCTCGCTGCGACGTGTCATTCCTATGGCGAATATTAGCCTTGATCGAATCATCCATGAAATTAATCCGTCGCATCCCCGACCTCCGAACGTCCTCGGGCTCCGGGTCTTACGGAAGAGGGAAAAGAGCGAAATGCGTCAGCCGATCTTTCACCACGACGCGCGGCTGCCTTCCGTCCTTTGCGAGCACCATGTGAGCCTAATCAGGCTGTCGTGCATTCGGGGGACTGCTCCTTTGTGGCTTATTTTTCTCCAGTCAGCGCCCTACCTTAGCTCGCTCATTCGTCCAAGCATATATTTCTATGTACACGGGCGGGCGGACGGACAAGCGTCTTCAGCGAAAGCACACGCAACTGTTTATCTTGCTTGTCTCGATGCACTTATAAAGAGTGATGTTTGCGGTTGCGTGTCACATAGAACAGGGAGGACCTACGGTTTATCAGTGCGGGTAGATTGAGTGTTTTTTCCTTTGAACACAGAGCTGTGCGCAAAGCTTCATACTGACCAACCGTTCTCGGACCACTTATTGTTAGCTGAGCGAGAGGGCTACCGTGGCACGATCCAATTTTTTACTCCGTCACTTTGAGCGGTCTAGTGGAGCATCTATTGTTTCGGGAGGTGGGAAAATGAAATTATTCAGCCAGCACGGCGAATTCGTTTGTCGAGGACAGCGATGCTCCGAGTGGGTTGTTGAAACATCTTCTTCATAATGGATATTTCATGAGTGTACAGAACGCAGGATTAGCGGAGGGCCCACAGGGATCTCATTCAGCGCGCATTGAGCTTCTTCACGCTACTTTCTCTATGAAATGCAAGCCCTATAAACAACGACATACCTTTCGTTGCAGGTGCTGACGTCCGAACATGAACGAAAGCGAGCGAGACAAAAGGCTGCACAGCTCAGGAGTGAACCATCTCCCTCTGCCTCGAGGCAGATATAAAGTGAGTTGGTATTGAAGTTCAGAGGCTGCAAAGCCGAAACCCCTCTATCAAAGGTCGGGGATTAGAATTCGGGAGGAGGTTTTCTCGAATACCGTCGAGGAGGCGTTCCGTTCCATCGTCTCTCCCAGACCAGTTTTATTCCCCTTCATGAAGCGATGAATGCTCGTTGTTCGCGTCAAAGGATCGATGGGCATGTACCTACATGTGTACACCTAGTGAGTGAGAGTCCCGAGATACGTGCACAAATCAATGAATCCTGACTCTACGCAGAGTGAGTCTTCTGATAAATCTAAAGACTCCATTCCATGTGTGAGCGAGGAGAATGATGAATGCTTGTAGCTGCTTTTCTGCTCATGCTCTAAGCGGGCGTACTTGCTCTCCGAATGAGAGAGGAATGGAGACTCGCCTCGTGTCAACCGACGCGACGCTGACGTCTCTCCGGCCGCTACGGCGAGGGAACTCCTCTGTAGCCGTCTTGACGGCAACGAGATTCAAATCGCTTGTGCACTCCTGCTTCCAGGGAAGGGGGGGTGTCAGGGAAGCAGCCAGAGAACTTAGTGGCAGCTCTATTCTCTATTCGAGCACGTGCCGAATGATCTGATCCCCCTTCAGCGAAAGTACATGGGGACCGAGAGTGCTTCGATGAAGACCGGCTGAGAATCGTATCTCCCTCATACGAGTGGATGCTCGCTATCCGGTGGTATCTGGGAGATTCGAAATGCCCGCGAGCTTCGAGGATTCTAAGGAGACCGTTGAAAGAAAAACGGAGGAAACCAATATTCGTGGAAACGCAACGCTTCGAACAACTATCCCTATCGGCGCTCGACTCCGTAGCTTGTTTGCTCGTCGATTGGCGTCAAGCCCTTGTTTCATTTTTTCGCCTACATCATTGTCTTAGGATCATATTTTCAGTTTCCCTTCAAGCTCGTTTCGACCGTCATAGTTCTTAGTCCTCCTCTTGGCTTACAGGTAGGTTGCGTGGATGTTCTAAATGGAGGAACACGTGATAGAGGATGCCTGTTTCGAATTTTCTACCCTTGCGAGGAGAATGTCGACATACCTACAGAAAGCTCGAGGAGGGCGACTTGGCTCCCGAAACCCGAGCGGAAATACGCGGACGGTTACGCTCGAGTTCAGGGCCACGTCGCCTACTGTGCGCACAAGTAAGATTTGAATGAAATTTCATCCCTTACCGTAATCCTTCTCTCCCGTTGTCCATGCTCGCTCACGGATGGAGAATCAGTCAGATTTTCCACTTTTCCCCTCTGTATCGGTCGACTTGATCTATGTCATAGGCTCGACACCAGGGATATTTACTCATGGAGAGATACGTTCTATGGGAATTTCATCTGTGTTTCTCGCTTTCTCCCGCTTCTGACGCATCTCGAGACTATTTCTTAACCGGGACTCCCTATAAGAGGGTGAACGGCTGCCCATTCATCGGGAGCCCCTTACGAGCTTGCTGTATCTTTCGGAACGTGGAGTTTCCCTCAGTCGACTCGCGACCGTTCTCTTGAGACCGATTTAGATTCAGTGAGAAGGCTACGTGCCGGTGCGTCGCAGTAGTCCGCGGGAGACACCGCGCCCTTTTCGTCGAGAAACTCGTTCGGCGAGGAGGCTCGTTTCGGTCAATAACTCTTTGGGGCTCTGTATCGGGTAGCTCATGAGGTCTTGCTCAACACGCGCTCATGGAGAAGTCGAGCAAAACGGAAGGAGGTGTTCGCCGATTCACATCTGAATCCCCTTCTCCAGGCTTTGTGGCTCCCAGACGTCTTCGCTCTACATTCCCGCGACCATGAACGCGAGGCCTGCCAGAGAGAATCGTAACGCATTTCCTGTGATACTTTTCTCGCACGACATAGGCGAATGTCGGACTACAAATTCAAGTCTCTGCGTAGAGCTGGCTTCCCACGGTTGCGTGGTTGCAGCCATCGAACACAGGTAAGGCAGAGCGGAGGCATTCCGCTTTGCAATCTTGTTCCTCTCGAGTTCCGAGTTCTTGTCTCTGATGCGTTGGGAAATGCTATTTATGGGGCAGGCTCCCTCTGAAGTTGTCTGCATCGGCTCCCTCGAACATATCGGGATTCTACGGCATACTACGATTTCGAATTAGAAGACCGGTGCATTCGAGTAATGCGAGTCTCTGAACTTTGTGACCGAACGGCAAACTCGACGGAGTCGGACGATCCTCCAGATCGTGTGTCGCGACCATCGTTGAGGGTTCCTGCTGATCCTAGACGTATCGGATCGCTGAATCAAATCGGAGTCAAAGTCTCTCTCCACTGCCGAACCGGGCGTGTTTGCTCTGCACAGTTGCTCTCAATCATCGGCTTCTATTCTCTGCAGCACTAATTAAATTCAAGGCTTGCCAAGTCAGCCGAAGATACCCGCTCGAGCTAATTCCATGTACTGGATCTGCCTTCAATCGGTTCGAGCTTTCTCTCATTTCGCAGGGACAACACAGCTTGCAGAACGTTTTACGTCGAGCAAGTAGAGGCGACACCGGGCTCTAAGGATCAGCTCGACGGTTTGAATGGTGTCGCGGAGGATCGAGAAGAGACCTCGGAATCCCTGCAAACAGAAGACGAAATACCGATGTGCGAGTCTGCGTTAGAGGAGGATCAAGACAAAGACAGTGCCGATGGAGACAGCGTTCTCGCAGACGACGTCGGTGGCGATAAGACCGATTCTGTCCCGGTTAGTTTTTGGCTCGGATCCGTTCATAATGCAGATTCTCCCAGGGGTCCTTCCCGTGCCCCTACTCCGCAGCGAGCCCGGCAATCGTACTGACGATCCGTTTATCGACGTCAGATGAAAGTTTCTGGTGGGGTAACCCCCCAGACCGCAAGCGCGAGCGAAAGTCTTGCGTGTTTGAGTGAATGTTAAATGGGCATGTTTCGGCAAAAGGGAGCGCGGGCGGTAATGAGCTACGGGTATTTCGAATCGACTCCGATCGGGTAATTGACGTTTTTCTTTCGTCTCCGGCAGAGACCCGCCATCATCCGCACGGTATGGGTCAACTATCGGCCCATAGCGAAGACGCCTGACCTGTACAATCTTCGCGTTCGTCAACTGCATCGGAGAGTAGGAGAATGCATTCGCACCCTGAACTGCCTTGAAGTGATCAACGCACGCGGAACCTGCGATAATAGATTACCCGAGAGATACCCGTTCGATTTATCAGGTACAATGAACATGGAACGCGTGACCGTGATCGGTCGCGGGTTCGGAGGTTCGACCGCTTACATGACCTTGCAAATCGAGGATCGCACCATTTGTGGGGCGTCGATCGATCCTCTCATGTTTGTCATAAAGGCCGATCGCCCCATAAATGTGTGTCGACCTTTTTTGCTGGTGCTCAATAGTCGCCACACCGCACGAGAAGACGTTCAAATAATGCGCACCATGTTCCGACAAAGCTACAAAACCTATACGAGTGTTTACACATTGCTCGGGAGCGATACCGATGCCCAGAGCGACTTGCCTTTCATCAAAGCGTCGTCCGTATGGAGTTCGCTGAGCTTCTCGTGGCCAATGGTGGCCCCAAGCCCGTTCACGAGCCTCGACCTCGGGAGCAGCTTGGTTCTGAAGTTCATTTCGGAGAAATGCAACTTCAACAACCACAACCGCGACTTCTACGAAGACTACGTCCAACGAAAATCGAATTTGATCGAGAAAGGCGTCAGAATGCCCAACAGATGGACTTCGCGCTATTCGAATGCTCGCTAACTGTTTATCGCAATCGACCACAGAGACAGCTCATTCACATGAGCTAGGCCACCGAAGAATATTTTTCTAGCACCACCACGACTCGAGAGAGACATTCCCGTCCCGGTAGACGAATGAAGCAGCGTTGTAAATTTCCTACAAATAAAAGCGAACGGCTCATTCCGCAAACAAGCTTGTGACTAGAAGCCGCGTTCTGTATCCTCACTTTCCGCCCGGTCCACCTCCACTGTGAGCTCGTAGGCAGCTCAGCGGTAGCTAGCTCACGGAAGGAGAAGCCAAGTATGTCCCCGTGCCCATCCTTTCCGCTTCAGCTCGGCTAAAAGGAGGAGCTCGCCAGGAATTTTTCCATACATGTCTCACTTGCTTCCTCCCACTTTCGCATCTATCCATTACCCGCCCTGTTGCAAGCGACCGCAGTAATGAAACTGCTCGCAAGACTTCGAGAGGTGCGCCAGCCGTGCTGACTGAGTCAAAAACTATTTACAAACTCCGGCTGCTCGAAAGGATCTGTTTCGCCGCAGCTCACGGAGTTGCTCAAGGGAGTTCCGCAGGCCCTCGCTCCGAAAGGCATCGATGGATGGAATCGAACACCGAAGCGATCCGACTCGGTCAGAGAATCCGATACAAGAAAAATCCGTTTGGAATCGAATTCCGGAAAACTATTTCCTGGGAAGAACGTTGATGTGAATATCGAGTTCGTGCATCGGAATTTAGTTTCTCATGGACGAGTTTGACACACATAAGCAAGAAGGGTGCAACCTTGGAGGAATGGGATGTCTTGTTCGAGAGATTCCTTATGCTTCATGCAACGCACGCCCCGTATGACGAGTCTCACGAATGATCAATAATAATATGTTCGACGATCGGGTGCCACCTGGCAAAGTTCTACATGATGTACGGAGAGTCTCTCGGATAACATTCGCCTAATCGCAGATTTTTCATACGTGGGACCCAGGTTCAGAATGAATGAAATCTGACGATGTCGCCCGATTTCTGCAGTCTCTAGTGCTGCACCGACGTTACACTCCCTCTACCGATCGTCAGGGATCAAGAACGAGAGATTGGCTTCTTCTCACACATGACACACACTTCATGCCATCTCCGAATGGCGAGCTCACGACTCGAACACTCTGGGTAATTGCGTGTTGTTGGATCCGCATATTGTAACTCAGTCAGTGATCGGATCTCGGAGAACCAGCGTTTCACAGCTACGCGACTCACAAAAACTCTTCTGATAATTCACCTTGGCCGGGGGCGCTGTCGCCAACGCTTGTGGTAGCATGTGAAGAACGAGGTCAGGCGAGTTTCGATGCTTTGATCGGTCAGGCGGCAAAATCGCTTGCTCCTGGCTTGTAGGTGACTTTGCCCCAGGCTCCGATGTTGCTGAGCAGCACGCCACCGCTTTCTTCCGCTCTGCCAGCAGGAGCACAGCCGACAACACTAACATCGCCCTCGACCGGTACTTTAATCGTTTCGCAGACCGGTGGCAGGTTTGTTCTCGACTGAACGACTCCGGGAAAATTTGAAGACCTCGTGGCAAACTCTCAGAATGATTCAGAAGGAACGGCGGCAAGTGGACGACGGTGATTCATTCGTTCGGGGGAAACCGGAAAAGTTCAAGACCCACATGGGTTTGCTCCCTCTGCGTTAATTTCTGGCGTGAAGTAGCGGTTCGCATTCGCGCACTCGAGCCGGGCTGTTCAGGATCGGAGATCGCTCCGCCCTCGCAGCCATTCGCTCACCCTTCTTATTTTACGTGGCCAGTCATCAGCCCCTCGCTTCCCACGGGCCAAGCTAAAACGAGCTTCTAGTCCACTGCGGGAATGGAAAGGGAACAGAAAAAGCTATCATATCGCCCAACCTTTCCGTTCCCGAGCTAAATCGAGCGGAAGTCAAAAACACTCAAGCCTTCCTGCCGCTCAGGTGAACGGCAAGCGAAATCCTCAGCGACTCTCACCGAGTCCTCCCTAGCAGCGGCTTCTAATGATCGGGAACATCGAACTCGGGCCCGTATCGCGAGGTAAGTCATTCCAGAGTCGCTTGTTCCCTAAAGAGGAAACACTCCTGTTTCAGCCGACGATTCCCACGCAGAAATGCCCAGACTCCATGATAGGAGCCCATAATAGAAGCCCATAATAGGACAAACCTCAGCGTGCGAAAAGGCGGCTCTCCGATTTCAGGGAACGTTTGCGCACAATATGAGGAGTTGGCTCTCGATAGGCCTATTGGAACGGGATCCGAGGGATTGGGCAGAGGAGAAGTCAGAGAGCTTCCATGGAGAGAGTACACATGCTGGTTGGGTTAGCTCTGGTATTCGCGTTGCCGCGAATGTCGTCACTGATGCTGTCTCATTTCTCTGTTGAGGGACGAGCATGGCTGTAAACACATTCACTTGTGTCGCAACGTGCCAGCTGCGTGCGGAGGCTTGAACTTGGTCGTGGTGTTTCAAGCCGGCTGCCGGGAACCACCGCGCAATACATATTTATTTGCGACCGTGAAATAGAGAATCTTCGTATGGGTATTCTCATCCACGAAGATCCATGCAATCGATTTTGATGATGAATTTGTGTGAGAACTCTACCCGACGCATAATTTGGTTTTATCCTCGTTGGTTTCGACCATTTCCAGGCAATTGCAAATTCTTTGCACCCGTAGGAAGGCGTGAGGCGCCCCGCGAAGAAGAATCTCCCAAAAATCGTCTAATGTTCAATGGCTGTCGAACTGAATCATGCGAACGCGATCCGCAGTCTTATGCACGAGAGGTCCCGTGATTTACTCCTGAGGCGGATTTCCGATCGGCGCTCTTTCCAGAGTCATTCCGTGATGGGAGATAGAATTGAAAATTGCGAAGTCTCTCGGTTCGGAAGAGTGGCGAAGGTTCTCGATTGGAAGCCATAGACGTCTTCTGAGATCTGACCGAGGATCCGTGCTCCCTCAGACCTTGCTAACAGGAGCTTTTGTTTTCTGCCTGAGGAACGACTGCGTCATATCTTGAGTCCCGCGCACACGCCTCGAGTACGACGAATGCCGCGTAAGAATCTCAGGACCTGATGCTTACCATGATTCCGGAGCGAGCGAGTCCCGCGCTGCTCGCCATCCTCAAAAGCAGTGGTTCTCGAACTGGGTTCCACGGAACCCTTGGGTTCCACGGACCGATTCCGGGGTTCCACAGTTATCTGTCTCGTGGAACCCCAGGGTTCCGCGAGCACTCTTGGCAGTTTCGGTAGCATTCAGAAAAGTCGCCATGGAGCATCTGATCCTTCGAATTCGAAGCCTTCAGGGGATCATCTCCGATACCGGATCCACAACGGGCTCGAGACTTCTTTTAAGAACTCAGTTTACCGGTCGTGGCCCGAATCAAGTCGGCAGCTCGATGCAGATCGTCATGCGAGAGCATCCCCCAGCGTGTCTCGCGTTCTTTCACAAATGACGTGCTGCTTTAGGTTCTCAGGCTCGCGGCTTTGACGACCCGTCCGAATCAGCTGCTCGACTGTGATCCATTCACTAAATGTTTTCATCCGTTCCAAACGAACTTCGCTTCCTGTGGATCTTGGAAAAATGATTCGAAAATGCTTGAGATTGCCAGGTCTCGGATCGGCTCAAAGCACAATCGAGCTGTCGACGCACGAATCCAGCCTCTCGGAAGAAGAACGAGCGCCGGTTAAGCCGCCGAGATTGCATCGAGAATACAGGGTCATCCGTCGCATTGATGTGTTCCGTTGCCAGGACAAGATTATCCGACAGGATATTCATACACTGCATAAATAATCACCGAGGTAAAAATTTTTTTTTCGGGGTTCCGCGCAGGGTTCCATGGCCCATTCGAATCTTTAGTCGGGGTTCCACCAGGGGTTCCACGGGTTTTTGCGTTTTTCTGGGGGTTCCGCGGAAAAAAAAGTTTGAGAACCACTGCTCAAAAAGAGCTACAAGTCGCGACGGATTCGTGGAACTTTCTCTTCACTCGTCGATTGAGTTTTTGACGTGGAAACGTCTTTAATTTCACTCAGGGGGTAGAATCATTGTACTTCGTCCTCCATGCAACGATTTTTGAGGCGTTTTGCGACCCGATAACTCGTGTTGTTCAGAACGGATCCAATTGTTGAATGCACCGATGGGAAGGGAATTTACGGAGGTATCTGCCATTCAATTCACGTGGTTATGCCTGGCGGTTTTGAAGGTCTCCGGGAGCGATTCTGGATGCACCTGGAGTACTCCCGGATAGTGTATAAATACAGGATTTCCTCTGAAAATATTGAGTTTGTGCGATATATTTGAGAAGAGTAGCTGAGATCCAGATGGGCTCGACCGGCGGAATACAACTTATTGGGCTGGACCAGTCGATCAAGGGGACAATTCCCTGAGATTGTTGGAGATCAGATCAAAGTCGCGATGCGCGGTATTTGAGGTTATTTCGATCTCGAATTCCTACCGAGTCGCACGACTCAACAGTGAAGGGATCTCTCTCAAGGAACAATCAGAATCGCTCCCTTCCGAATGTACGGACAACATGAGCTCAGCCCCCGCATAAGAGTGGTTCACAAACATTTTGCGATCGTGAACGACGATGCTATCGGCGAGGAGCTTTCCATCGAGTCGCTTCGACGCCGATACCCCGATTTTTCCAACCGCCGATTCAGCAGAGTTCCGGAGCGGCCTCACCAATAAACACTGAACAGTCGAATTACTGAATCCCACGAAGGAAATACATATATCACACATGAGGCATGCTTCCAGCGATCACTTGTTGGATCACGAAGGTCAGAAGGACTCTCAACCGAGAGGATCGAGCACGGCTAAATAAATTCAATTGAACACCAACAACATGTATCGAAGACATTCGCGGGATTTGAGGTCATGCTCAGATTGACGAATTTTAACGTCAATAGAATGACTTTGATCACTTGAAGGGGAATGCTGAACATGCAAGACGCCGATCGGGCAGAATAGGTCATAGAATCCCGCCCCTAGAGAGTTTCAATCCTGAGAGGTGTCCATAGTCTTTCCCAGTTTTCTCATATAGTCAATGCTTGAGGGCGAGTTATCGATAATCATTCAAACATCTTTAAGGTGGCCATACGCGAATAATCTCTTAGGGTTGAACTTCTCTCGGGGCGGGGATTCTCTGACCAAAGTTTCAGCTCGATCGACGTG